TTAAACAGAAAATCCAAAATTTTTACCAATTTTTCCATTTCTTCAGGTTTCTTTCCTCGAGACAATCCATCAGAAATCCCTTTCAAAACTGCATCCAGCAATTATAAAATCAAACGGTATAAAACCTAAATTAAACGTTCTCAAATTCCTGTCAGGCAATTTTACCATGTATCATTCAAGCATCATCAATTTTCAATTTTCCAATTTCTCGTGTCTACAAAATTAGAATGTCCAAAATCATTCGCTTTTCTTAATTTCTTCCTTTACAGAATTAAATTACGCTCAGAACCCTAATTTCCTAAACAAATCACTGCTGAAGGGAAAATAACCACCAGAAAATGAGTCAAATTGCTTCTGATTTTTTCTCCCTTTCCTGATTTCTGAGGTTTTGCTCGGTATCACGACAGTAATGAAAGGGAGAAAATTACAAGTTCTGGAATTATCATTGTTGAACAGATGAAATCCGGAGAAAACAGTGAAGAAACTGAAGAGAAAAGAAAGGAACCTACCTCGGAGGCGATCCATGGCGAAGAGCTCGAAATCCTCAAGACGTACTTCGAGGGAAGGGGCAGATCGGTAGAGAGGAAGAGTGGAAACGACAACGTCGTCGGCGATGGATTTCCGGTCAGATCGATATACTTCCATCTTCTCACACTCTGACTCTGATTGAACCCTCCAATGCTTAGGGAAAACGGCTTTCGGAAATTGATATATATTGTTCCCCAAAAAAAAAAAAAAAGGAAAAAAAAATTGGAATAGTAAAATAGGAAAAGCGCGCCGGGAACGGGGAAAATGGCGGGAATTGCAACTCGGTTCTAAGTTGCAATTTGCAACAGGTGAGTCATGACTCGAATTCACGTGCTGGACTGAGCCCATTCTTCTCTTGCTTTCTGCGAGTCCTAGGCCCAGCCGGTTCACACTATTGAAACGCAAAACTTCTTTTCCATTTAAATTTTAAAGTTTAGAGGCTTATTAATAATTTGGAGTAAAGTTCAAGGGCTTAAAATGTGATCCTGCCAAAATTATTTATATAATAATATAATAAAAAGATAATTTAACTTGTATCCTCTACCGGTTTACGTTTACGAGTATATTAATTACGTAATTTTTTTCAATAATTATTAAAGCAAAAATAAAAGTTGAATTTAATTTTATAAATCATCTAATTAAAATTATATGTATGTCATTGATGTTAAAATAGAATTAATTATTATAATATTTTACACAAATTAATAAAAATATATAATTAGTACATCTTTAATTTTTATGTTAAAAACACAAATTAAACAAATCTAATAACATAAAAGTCTTATGTAGTCTCATTAAGGGAATAATAGGGCACTTGTGGGACAATTGGACTTCAATAGCCAGTCCAATTTCTTTAATTTGGGCAATTGGATTAAAAAAATTGGACTTCAGTTCTAACCTTCATTCATGCTGGCCACCTACGCTTACAGTATAAATTTTAACCTTTCTCCTGGCACAAACTTATAGTATATGTTCCTCAAAAATCCTCAGCCGGCCTTTATCACGTGAGTTGGATGTTAGGCGTGCCACTTGCTTTGTCTAAAAACAAGAAAATAGGATTTTCCAGACGACCTTTCTCCTTTCCGACAGTCGACCTCCAATAGGATGGTTGGAAATAACGTCTGTGAAATGAATTGCGCCCCAGATGATGTTGCAAAACAAAGGGTAGAGTTCTGCAAAATGGGTTACTAATTGCCTTGAAAACCTCCAAGGACTTCACAATCAAACAAGTGTAATAAAGGCTACAAATCCTAAAATAAATGCAATATCCTAAAGCAATTAAACTAACATGAAGTAAAGAACATAAAATAACATGCCATGAAGATTAAATTCACAGACAACAGAAAAAGTAAAATAACAGACAATGATTTCAACTACGCAGCCCATAATAATTAACTAAAACTAAAGAAGAAACTATGAGATGATTAAAGTCTGAAAACTTATAAAATCAAATATGGAAATTGAAATTAAGTAAACTGAATGTCTGGATATTGTGCAGAAACAAAAGAACAAAGGTAGAAAACATTCAACCTATTTACATGAACGAATAACATAATTAAATCCATAAAAAGAAGAAGAACTAACCGAATCAAAAGGGCAGACCTGTTTTGAAGGCTAAGTTGCTTCCAAATACTTAAAAATAAATCTAAACTGGAATTTGCGGAAGAAAATATGAACAAAGATGAACAAACCTAGGCTAAGGCTATGAACTAATCTGGAAAATCTGGGAAATATGGAAACTATTGCTGAAATCTGGAAAATGCAGTATAAAAGCTGAAAAACATGCTCTGGGCAGTCTGTGTGTGTGTTGAGCAGGCCTTGAACTGTTCTCTTCTCTTTGTTTTTGTTCCCTTCGATGCTGGTAACCTCCTCCATGATCTTCTCCATGATCTTCGGTACTGTTCCTCCATTTTCGGCACTGTTCCTCCATGATCTGGTAATGGGATTGCAGGTCTGACAGTTATTTAATAGTTATCCGATTTTTATTTAACCTTATCTCCAACAACCTTAAAGATAACTACCTAAAAAATCCTCAATTTCCCATTTTAAATCAAACTCAAACTACCAGATCCAATCTTATCTTCTGCCACCTAAGATCCAACCTCCTTGGAAATCCGTCTGGGCCATTAAATTGTAAGCCAGCCTAGCCCAAATCTAGCCTATTGATTTTCTTGATGATTGGGTTTCACCTTGACACGTGGCCTTACCCTATTGGTTTATTTTAGGTGTAAACAGTATATATAACATGTGGAAACTACTATGTAGTTTCAATTGCAAGATCCACAAGATTGTTCTCAATTCACATCCATTTGTTGCAGCAGTGTATTTGTTGCTTTGTGTCGTCTTAATAGAACTGGAGCACTCACACTAGAAAACATCCCCAGGAGATCAGAATCTGAAGACTAGTTACTACTATTTTCTAGAACACGGATTCCATTGGCAACATCAAGTCAAGACTAGTTGTTGAGTCACCAATTTCCTGAAAGCAAACAAGCAAGCATTGAGATCAGAATGATCCATTACAAAGAATGTGTTCATGTGTGCATGTGTGCATGTGTATATAATTTTTTGTATATCTGTGCATGTGAGATGTTAACCTCCAGGCAGAGATAGCATGTGTTGGAGATTGCTGGACCTAGAAGATGTCAAAACCAGGTGAGTGTTAGAAGAACCAAAAAGGAGGTGCAGTTAGTCATTAGACAGAAATACCTTCGTAGCACCAGAGACAATATCAGACAAACACCCTTCTTTTGCAAAGAACGAGCCAACAATTCCAAAGGACAAGGCAACAATCTGGTAAGTAGTTTGTTACAGTGGATGATTCATAAAGAGGAAATCCCTAGTTCAAAATCATAGGATTTCCAAAAGGAAAACATTAAAACCTAACACTTCAAGAATTTATATATTTAATACAAGAAACAGATTTTGAAAAGGAAAGGTGAGATGAAAATTAATACCTTGATCACTTATTATCATATACATATATATATATATATATATCCTAAAAAGAAATACTATGTTTAAAAAGAAGCCATGTGAGAAATAAAACATAAGATCTATCATTTAAAGCATCTAAATTCCATGAAAAAGATCCTCTTGTCATCAGAAGTCTTGTTAAAATAGTATTCAACCATTTCCTTGACCCCATTTTGACTTGGAACATTGAAGCTCATTTTGCTTGAAACTTGCATGTTAAAATGTAAGGCATTAGTAATACAGAAGTGTTTGGGCAGCTTCGCAATCCAACACTGTTGAAGTCCTCAGTTACTTCTACACCTGAAAATCTCAAGGGTGTTTCCTCGGGGAAAACACTCCAACGCTCAAGTCAGCAATACTCAATATTCTAGAGAGAGATGCTCTCAAAGAGTAATTGCAGAGAGAGAGACGTAGAAGAGTTAATACCTTGCATGGAGGCAGTTGGGGGGTATTTATAGTCCCAAGTGCTGACATGAGTTAAAACATGTATTCACCCAGTTGGCCCACGTGTTATTGCCCACGTGGGCATGTCTCCTTATCTTGGGCCAGTGAGTGTATAATTGGGCCTGTTGCATGTGGCCCGAAATGGGTGTTGTTGACAAACTGGGTTTGATCCTGGGGGATAAGGAGTGACGTTTTACAGTTCACGACCGACCTCACGCACAACCGATCTAGGCGGCCTGAAGCCACCATTCCTGGTCTGATGTGCATGTTGATGCCGACTTCCTACCGAGCAGGCGTGAGGAAGCTGGTGTTAAAACAAGGCGAGCTCAGTGTTACTCGGCGAGCTGAGTAGGTGCACAAGGGCGACCTTGCATAATGGATTTTCTGTAGCAAAGCGAAGGTGAGTAGATAGTGAACGAGCTGAACCAATCAACCCAGACGGGCTGAAATGAGCGACCTCAATCGTCACTATAATGTAGATCTCTGGGATATAGCGTAAATCTAAGGGATTTGGTGACAATCTGGCGAGCTAATTCATCGAGATTTTCAAATTTTGAATTAGGGCAAATATCTGAGGAGATCTTGGATTTGTTACGATCTTAAATTGTGGCAAATCTCTGAAGAGATTTGCTTAGGGCGTTTAGTATTCTTCTGTCCATAGCAGATTCGTGAGATTTGTTACGATCTGATCCTTGAGATTTTTTAAATCTTAAATTGTGGCGAATCTCTGAAGAGATTTGCTTAGGGCGTTTGGTATTCTACTGTCCATAGCAGATATCCTTTTACCTCCCCACAATAAATGTTGGCTCAGCATTTGAAGGGACGTGATAGCTAAAGCTGGCGCACGCTATGTGAAAGGGGGTTAAGCACTTGCCACGTGCAGGATGCTAACTGGCGTGTCAAGGACACGCGTACGGCAATTAACACTGGAGCTACTGTTTTAGAAAATGGAAAAGGGAAACGATTATGCCATTTTCCATTTTACTTGTGTTTGAACTTCTGATATTCTCTGTAGCAAAGCGTTTGCAGTCTGAAGAACGTACCACCATACCGTCAACTGAGCAACATCTACACCAATCCAAGGTAAAAAATGGACTTCTTTAGAGAACTAAGAGAGCTACGAGGTAACCAAGGCAAAGAGGAAGAAGAGGAGGGGCTTATATCTGTAGAGCCTATCGCAATGATAGTGCCGCCGGCGCTGCAGGACTTGCCGGAAATGTTAACGCCTGAGAGCAGCGCCAGTTTGAGCGTTAGGGACAACGGTGGCGACCACCATACTTCATCATCCAACAGCTCGTCCTCTGAGGAGACACCCAGCCACGAGGAAGGGATAGGGAATGTGGTTGGCAATAACCTAGATCTGCCCGTGGTTGAAGAATGGGAAAATAGGGTACTCACGGGTAGATTAAGTAACCTACACAAGGCGCCCAAGGACTTGCCTGCTGGATTTAGATTCAAGGCGGCGCTTCATCATGAAGTAGTATACAGCGCGCCCTCAATAAGTGGGTACAAGAAATTGGAGGAGATGGTGAAGGCGTACCACATTTCTCGGACACTATTACTCCGAGCAGGCGCAAAGAATGAGAGGGCGTGCACAGTGTCACAGACTGGCTGGATACCAGTGTACGTGGATCACTTTGACGCCGGCCTACGGTTTCCCTTGCTTGGGCTGATATTTGATCTGCTGGCGGATGACGAGTTGGCTCTAACACAACTGATGCCCAACAGCATAAGGTTCATCATAGGCTTTATGCTATTGTGTGCGAAGTTGGAGATACCTACCAAGGCGATAGTGTTCAGGTCGCTGTTCCAATGCCAGCTGTGCCCAAACTCCAGAGGTGCGAAGTGGTACTACCTTTCTGGGAGGGAGAAGAGCCAGCTTTTAAAAAACGTCAAGAATAAAGTAGTGAGGTGGAAGAGGCTGTTCGTCTTTGTTCGTGATACACGAACAGAAAGAATAAGCAATGACCTCGCTGCTCAACTATCTGAATGGCATGTGCCAAATGCACATGTCAATTACCCTCAACTACTGCCACAGGACACGGATCTGAAGAATCAGCTGCTAGAGTATGCGAGGAGGGAAAACTTGATAGACTTAGAAGCCCTGGTTACCACGGAGCAGCTCGCCATGTTCGGGTTGGTCGACGCGACAAACCAATTCACAGAAGGTATACTTTTATCATATAATACGAAGTCTAGCTGATTTGAGTCTTATATATTTGTTTGTGCAGGAAAAATGAGCAATATATTGGAACGCTAGTGTCAACGAGCCCAGGGCTCCCGAGGTCGCGCAATGGGCAGCACCTCGCAATGACAAACACGATTCGATGAGCGGCCGCCCCCAGCACCATAATCACGTAGCGCGTCGCACTGTGGATCTAGCTCGGCGTCCAGGCCTCGCGCCGAGCAGAGGGTTGAAGCTGTGGCCCCCAGTGCACGCAGGCGTGCACGTGAGGAGACTGACAACGAAGATGAGGTCCCCCTCATGCGGCGCAGAACAAGTGTGGGGGCTCAGCCTGCACAGGTGGCTCAACCTGTGGCCGTGCTCATCAAACGCGCCATCCGCCATGGCGCGTGCAGCAGCGAAGCCCACATCTGCGTCGACCTCAGTGTCGGCACCCAAGATTGCGTATCCGAACGGCTTTAGCTATGTGAAGGCCAACTTCCAGCCCGCCATGGTGCAAGGCATGCAAAGCTTTGTGCCTCCCGTGGATTGTCAACGGGCAAGGACTTTTGTGCAGCAACATGGTGTGCAAGTCGCCATGGTCAAACTGATGGACGTAAGTATTTACTTGCACCTGCGTGATTATTTTACTATTCCATTCTAGAGACTAACAGTTATTGTTGTTTGGCAGGCATTCAACTATGTACTAGTGCTGTTTGAGAGTGAACAGGGAGCTCGCTCTCAGAATAACGAGCTCAGCGACAGTTGGCCGCAGAAAAGGCCAGCCTTGTGGATGATGTCAATCGTCTGCAAGGCTCGAAGATGGCCAACCGAGCTGCTGCTGCGGAGAGCCAAGCAGAAGAGCTCGCGAGCAGGAACATTGAGCTTAGGGAGGAGCTGGAGCGAGCTTGCGTCGAAAAAGAAAGTGAGATCCAGGCGGTAAAGGATGAGGCCGCCCGAGTTGAGGAACGCACTAAGAAAGTTAAGGCCGAAAGGGAACGTGCTCTGAACGAGCTGAGCTCCCTTAGGCACTAGGTTGCCGAGGCCGCCAGGAACCTCAACGCAGCTGAAGAGGCCCTGAACGAATTGAAGACATCTCACAGGCGCTCTATAAGCATCGCCCGAGCCCAGGGAGTAGAATGGCTGATAGGGTCGACTACGTTCCAAGACACTGTGGTGATGGCGTCTGCAAACATGACCATGGAGATCTACAACGAGATCCGTGGGAAGGTGCTGTAACACCACCCGGATTTTCCCATACGCAAGCTGGTGTTTTTTGACTGGGAGGATCTTGACGAGCAGGGTAAAAGCCTTGCTCCCCTCACTGATACAACCGTGCAGTTGAGGTGGGATCTTAATGATGAGGGAGTACTCGTCTGGCCTCCCTCAATTTTAGAAGAGGGGGAGGACCTAGTGGGGCTGCCCTCCTTTGATGGATGGGTGGAAGGGGCTCCGGTGGCAGAACAGGAGCCATCGACCACTCCTCCCAGCTCTCAGCCAACCGTGGTACCGGCCAGGTCACCAGTCAATGCACCAGCTCCAGAGCCCACAGCCCGGTCATCTCCAGCTCGCTCCTCTCCAACTACTGCTGATGTGTCCATGCCCGTCGACCTGACGGATGATTAGTTTTAGGATTTTTCTTTTTCTTTTTGTACTGTTTTTGCATTTTTGTATTGATCAATGGATCTGTTCCATATGTGCTTCACATATGAACATTCTTGATGAAATACAAACATGAATCTTCCTTTGAAACTTTTGTATTGACTGTTGTATATTTTTTGTACATTATCGTTTACAGTTGCTTGATAACAACTTGAATAAGATAATAGTATACATGTTAACTGTAAAATTTCCTAAGGTTGTATATGTTCCAAATGAATGGTAGTGGATGACCTTGTAAGGCTGCCAACTGGTAAGACCCAGGTCGCTTAACACAAATAACCATATAAGGACCCTCCCAATTTGGTGCGAGTTTCCCCATATGTGAGTAAGAATTTGTGAGCCCAGCCCTTTGCAAAACCAGATCTCCAACCTGAAATTGACGAGCTCGGACTCGCTTATTATAAAATCTAGCGACATGACTTTGATGCACCATGTTTCTTATATGAGACATCTCCCTAACCTCTTCCACAAGGTCTAGGTTCTCTCTCAAAAGTTGCTCATTGTTAGGATCGTTGTGCCAACCTGCTCTATCAAATGGCAATCCAACCTCTACAGGGATGACAGCCTCAACTCCATAGGCAAGGCTAAATGAGGTTTCACCCGTAGTCGAGTTGGGTGTGGTGCGACAAGACCAGAGCACTTTATTCAGCTCGTCAACCCAATTAGAATGTGTGGCTAATACACGCGTCTTGAGGCCTCGCAAGATGATTTTATTCGCGGACTCGGCTTGTCCATTTGATTGTGGAGTATATACAAATGTCAAAGCGAGCTCAATGCCATAGTCGTTGCAGAACGACGTCAGTGCCGTGGCTCAGAACTGCGGACCATTGTCAGCGATGATCCGCTTAGGTATACCGAACCTGTACACAGATGACCGAACTAAGCCACAAATTATATTTGTATATAATGTACCGATGGCTTAAGTCACCAAATAATACCTGCATAATATTGAATTGAACAGGAATTCTTCTATTTTCTTCTCTGTTGTCATGGAAAATGGTTTAGCTTCTATCCATTTAGTGAAGTAATCCACCGCGACAATGAGGTAAATGCAACCTCCTTTGCCTTTCACAAAAGGGCCAAGCAAGTCGACTCCCCATTAAGCAAAAGGCTAGGGAGATGAGAGTGATGAGAGCATTTCTCTTGGCATGTGAATATCATCAGCATTGAACTGGCAGGTCGAGCACCTTTTGACATAGTTCTGTGCGTCCTCAACCATGGTAGGCCAGTAATAACCATGCCTCAGGAGTTTCCGAGCTAAAGTTCTACCACCTATATGTGTGGCACATACTCCTTCATGAACTTCCCTCACAGCGTATTCAGCTTCATAAAGAGTGAGGCAGCGTAATAGGGGCATTAAGGCTGCTTACTTGTAAAGTTGATTATCTAACAAAGTGAAATGTGCCGCCCTGTGTTTAATCAACTTTGCAGTGGACGGATCTTCAGGCAGCTCGCCACTGTGCAAATAATCTATAAGCGGGGTAGTCCAGCTCGGAAGAGGGATCTGTACTGAGCAGCTGACACTCGATTGTGAAATCAGTGTAGGTCGGAGCGTCAAGTACCTCTACAATTGTTGATCTCTGAGGGTTGATGTCTTGTGAATAGGCTAATTTTGACAGCTCGTCAGCTCGTTGGTTATCTGC